CGACCCTTGGGTTTGCGCTCCGCCTCGCCCAGCCCTTGGGGGCGGGCTCTGCCTCGCCCGACACCGAGGCCGCGGACTCCGCCTCACCTGACCCTTGGGTTTGCGCTCTGCCTCGCCTGGCCTTGACCCATACCACCGCCAACCACTCCAGGTCCAAGCGAAATGGGCCCAGGACAAAGCTCTGACACCAGGGAGGTGATCAGGACGCCCCGATACAACCCGTGGCCGTGACGGGCCATACCTAGGGACTCACATCAGGAACAGCGTCGGGCGTACCGATGCTATTCTGCATAACCCTCGTACGAGGACTGATAGGCGCGTCAGTCCACCACGATGTCTGCCAAGACAGAGTGGAGCGCCACAACCGGAAGACGACGCTCGCACATGGCGCCAGTGACGGACAGGGCCACGACGTGGAGCTGCCCCTGTTGACGTCTATAGGGTCGGTGGGACCTGCGTGAAGGAAAAGGACCCAGCGATCCTAGAGGACTTATTCTCCTTCTCATTCTCCTCTTTTTTCTCCACTGTAATCCGTGCTTTCCCTTGACCTATAAAAGGGAAAGCAGGGCGTCCCATAAGGGGCATCGTAACACATCGCATTAATTCGGACTCGAACCCATCGAACCCCAAACCGATCAGAACACAAGCACACAGCCGGGGAGTGACCGAGCTCTCGGCACCCGTTCGCTCCTCTCATCAGAGACTTGGGACATGTCCCTCTCTCGACCGTTTGTAACCCCTACTACGAACTTTTAGTGCTAGTAACACGAGTAGCAACAACGAACTGGACGTAGGGACATTCTGCCCTAACTAGTATAAATCTCGTGTCCTCTTAGCACACCATCCGAGCCAGACGCGCATTATTAGAAATTTACTAGCCGGTGGCAACTCGAAACACCGACACCTTTTGTAATATTATTTCCACTGCAACTCTGTGTGTATGTGATGGGTATTTGCTTAATCACGCGATCTTGGTTGTGATGTTGATTTACCGAGGTCCTTCGTGACCCTCGGCGGACTACCGGATTTATATAAGTGAAAATATGTGCGCGTCAACGTGCTAAACGGGGACAACTGTACTTGATTTTGTATAAATTAGGCGGTTTCATCACACAAATCTAGCTGTTCTAGCCCTGTGCAGCAGCGCGGGCGCATGGAGCTCTACGGGGCTACAACAACCAGCGTTGATGGTCTAGGTTATGGGTGAAAGCCTTGCCTCTAAGGCCAGCGACAGTGGCGTCCACGGTGGATCCTTAGGCGCCACTCCCCTTCCTGAAGGTGATGTTGAAGAAACACTTGTGACTCATCGCTTGGTCCCCTCCGTCTCTTGGTTACTTGAGCATGCCTGTCGCCTGTGTGGTTGTCGTTGCCATCTGTGGTTCTTCTTGCGCCATCGTTTCTTGGAGGAGTTCCTTGCTGTGTCTGTGTGTGCTTTATATCCTTCCTCTTCGCAGTGGCCTGTCCTTGTTCTAGCAGATGCTTAGCCACCGTGGCGGATGTATGGCTGTCATTGGTCTCTTTCCAATGAATCCTTTGCCGCCGATGTTGCATCGTTCTTTGGTGGATGCTTTGTTGTCAGAATCGTATTGGTTTCTTTCATGGTGGACGTTTTTCCGCCAAGGTCATTTCTCTTTTCTAGCGAATGCTTTGCTGCGGAGGTTGTTTCTCTTCTCTTTGCCGCTGATGCGGGTCCTATCCCCTCACCTTTTCTTGCTGATTTCTTTGCTAATCCTAGGGTTACTTACACGTCCCGAACTCTTTTTATTTTTAATGAAAAATGTGCTTCATGGTATGGCCGAGAAAATAAAATCAGGTAGGACAAAAAATCCCCCTCGCCCAGTCCTTGACCCTAAGAAAAAAAACAGGCTCATTGAATGAACGCCAATATCCGGCGATGGAGCGACACCGTGCGTGTTTCGCGCGGGCGGGTGGGCACGTATTTGGAGGCTGGAGCTACTCCTTGTCCTAGACTAGGCCTTGTTTAGTTCCAGGGTGTAAAGTTTTGGGGTGTCACATTGGATGTCACATGGGGGTGTCGCATGGAGTGTTCGGATACTAATAAAAAAACAAATTACAGAATCCGTTAGTAAACCGTGAGACGAATTTACTAAGCCTAATTAATCCATCATTATCACATGTGTTACTGTAGCACTTTATTGTCAAATCGTGGACTAATTAGGCTTAAAAGATTTGTCTCGCAAAGTAGTCACAATCTATGCAATTAATTATTTTTTTAGTCTATATTTAATATTATATGCATGTGTCAAAATATTTGATGGGATATGGTGTAAATTTTTAAGAAAGGAACTAAACAACACATGTACCTCACTCACACATCCCTCATCTTCATCCTCTGGTTTGGTTGAGAACAAGACAAGTGCCGCGCGAGCCGACAGCAGCACGTACGTACGTGTCTGAATGTGATCGATGGGCATGCACGTCGTCCGAGACAGATTCCCATGGCCCGGAGACGCCTCTCACTCTCTCAGGCAGCAGTGTGCTCTGTCTGAACGACCCTAGTTGTTTGTGGTCAACTCGCGCGGATCCATATACATACTCATCTGTCGATATATTATTATATACTATACGTATATATATATATCTCCTCATCAGTACGTATACGCATGATGGTTGAGGGAATATTTTGACATTTGCAGCCAAGCAATCAGACGTCCGTGTGGACGTTTCATACTGATTGACGCGCATCGTCACACACCAGCTCGACGATCTAGCCTGAGACTGTGAGAACTAGTAGGGACAACTAAGGGCATATTTGGCACGGCTTATGTCGGCTTCGGCTTCATCTATTTTACATAAATCAAGGCACTGTAACGTGAAACCGTTTTGTAAGCCGAAGTTAAAATGAACTAGAAACCGAAAAAAACCAGTTTTTCTGGCTTCACCGACTTTGACTTCACCGATGAAGCCGTTTTGGATGAGCCGTGCCAAAGTGACTTAACCTAGCAGCTGGCGCCGGCGACCCACGGCAATGGCAGCACAGCACTGCACTGCACTGCAGTGCGTGCACACCGGCCGGCTGGTTGGATGCGATCCCGATCCAATACCATGGTCCGTGGACGCATGCATGATCCACCTCCAGCTCAGGGTACGGTGGCTCGGAGTCGGAGCAGCCAGCGCCAAAATGGAAATATTTTCTAAAAGCACAGCACTTGCTGCCTGCTGGCTGCAGAGTCCGCTTGTTTGACAAACAGGGCACTCCCACCAGGAGAATAATTCCCGCATTTCAACGACTCCCGGTGTGGAACGGGAACCGTCTGTCTGGACCACTACACCTCGATCGGCTCTTGTTTACTAATTTGATTTGAATTTGTGGATGTTTCCGGTTACAGAATTTTCTGACATTTCTGCTCGGGCTGATGAGCAGAGGTTCTGCTCATTTGCTCAAGCGGTTGACTTACTTGATTGCTAATAACTGAGAGCTAATCGTTGGATTCGATAGACTATATTCTTCGTATAGGATAGGATAACAGTGCCTATTTTCAGTAGGAGGTCAGTATTATATTGACCAGTGGATGTATATGCTCGTATCCAGTCAGAACCGGAATCTTAGTCTTAGGAATGAGTATATACAGTACGTAAGAAATCCCAAATGTAGTTCCCTAGAGTTGTGATAAATAGTAGGTTTTTTTTTTTTTTTGGTGGGGGAGCGGGGGCAGGGAATCAACGCTTCATTAATTAGATAGAATTGCCACAATCGAATTGTAGACAAGGCTGCAAGAAGGTGTTAATCCTATATATTCCTATAAATAGTAGGTTTCTGGTTTCTAAGAAGGTGTTGTTATTGACACCCTCACCCTGACTAGGCACCATCCGACACACAGTTTGACTATGGCAAGGCTCTATTTAGTAGATTTTTTACCAGCGACTTGACCTAAGAAGCTAAAGAAGTAAGAGAAGCCATGTTTAATTAGATGGCTTCATCCTTGTAGTATAAATAATGGCTTCTCTCCTCTACATCTTCTCTTGTGAAGCCGTTTTATGAGCTAATGTTTGGCAGGGTTCTATTCAAGATAGAGAAACCAAAGCTGAAGCCTGTCTAGAAGCCCTGCCAAAAATTGTACAGTGGCACGCACTGAACTTAGGTTGTGTTTCGTTGACAGGGGATGAAGAGAGAGAACTCATTTCATCTTGATGTTTGATTTAGGGACATGGGAGACATAGTCGTCTTCAAAGAGAATTATTCCTATATATTCGGAGACTTAGCCATCCCCCGGAATGTGAGGTACGTGCTCGTTCATCCCTCAGCGACGCCATCTCCTTTTCCCGTCTATGTGTTTTGCCCTTCCTCTTTCACGTGTGTGAGGGCTCCGGCGGCGGAGTTCGACCACGACACTGAGCTCGACCGACCATCGACGCGCGTGAGCGGCCACAGCCCCGTCGCAAACACACCCTTATAGCCAGATTATTTGTATGTATGATTTGAGTTGAGGCAGGCAGGGCCGTGGCGACGGGAACCAGTATGAATGCATGGATTGGAGAGGGCAAAGCAGTGGCATCACCCGTCAAAGTTGACGTGTGCCATGGGATTAGCTTACCATCGCTAGTTAATCTCGCCTCCGCTTTCGGCTTTTTTGGACAAGAAAAAAAAACGGAGAGTAATCGACTGCGATGGCATAAACAAATTTCTCCACCGTTGCGGCGTGCTCCCTCCCTCACAACTCACGTGCCTGTCTGCCTGCCGGCCGTTTCTTCTTCTCCTCCTCGCTCCTCCGTCTTCTTCGTCTTTCCAAGTCCACGGCACACAGCCAGCAGTCACAATAACAGCACAACCCAACCAAGCCGTCATGCATCTCTCTCCTCGCTCCTCCCTTTCTCCTCTATAAAAGCTAAGCTAGCCTCTCCCTCTCTTTTCGCCATAATCCTCCAAACTCCCTCCCTCCTCTCCCCCATCCTCGATCGGCTACCTACCTTGCTGTTGAGCTTGCTGAAGCTATATAACATCTGCACAGGGCTATCTATCGATTAGCGAAGTGAAGAAGATGGCGGCGCGTGATCACCGAGAGCTGAGCAGCGACGAGGACTCCGCGGCGGCTGCGGCCGGGGACCTCCGCCGCGGGCCATGGACGGTGGAGGAGGACATGCTCCTCGTCAATTACGTCGCCGCGCACGGCGAGGGACGCTGGAACGCGCTGTCACGATGCGCAGGTATGTACGCTGCTTCTGCTTGCCATGTCGATCGCTGCCGACGAGCTAGCGGAGCTCTTGGCCGACCAAGTGGCCGACCAAACTAATGAGCTGCGTGCTTGCTTTCTTCATTCCAGGGCTCCGGCGGACGGGGAAGAGCTGCCGCCTGCGGTGGCTCAACTACCTGCGGCCGGACCTGCGGCGGGGCAACATCACGGCGCAGGAGCAGCTGCTCATCCTGGAGCTGCACTCCCGGTGGGGCAACCGGTGGTCCAAGATCGCGCAGCACCTCCCGGGGCGCACCGACAACGAGATCAAGAACTACTGGCGCACGCGGGTGCAGAAGCACGCCAGGCAGCTCAACTGCGACGTCAACAGCCAGCAGTTCAAGGACCTCATGCGCTACATCTGGATGCCGCGCCTCCTCGAGCGCATCGGCTCCGGAGACGTCTCTGCCGGCTCCGGGGACGGCGCCGTCGTCATAGACGCCGTGGCGCACGACGCCGCGACGCTGACGCCGACGCCGACGCCGACGCAGCTCCTCACGGCCGCCGCGTGGCGCGTCGACGACGTCGAGCTGTCCTGCACCACCGCCGTGTCGTCGTCGTCCGTGTCCATGGACAGCATGCAGCAGCAGCTCGTCGCCGTGTCCCCGCCGCCGCCGCCGCCGGCCGTGGCCTCCGCCGCCTTCGGCGAGAGCAACAACGACGCCTCCTACTACGGTATCGACAACAGCAACGCTGCCATGTCCATGTGGGACACGCTGTGCCAACCACCGCACTCGACGACGGCACAGCTGGCGAGCGCCGGGACCTGCAGCTGGTCCGACGAGTCTCTGCTGGTCGTCCCTTCTGGCCTCCCAGGCGGCGGCGGCGGCGTGTACGCCAACATGGGGTTCCCGGACCTCTGCGACCCCGACACCATGTGGACCGCCGGCGTCTCCGGCGCCGACGACCTGTGGTACACGCAGATAATGGGGCTGTGAAATTAAAGCAAGTCCGCCGGCCGCTTGGATTTGACCTGACGGATTTCTAGCTAGCCCGGTGGAGACGACGGGCGGCGAGTTAATTAATTAGTAGATGACACACACACAACACAGGCAACAGCAGCAACAAGTCTGTACAGTCGTCGAGAGTCGAGACGGGCTGGAAGAAGGAGAAGGCCATTATTGGGGGGCTTTTGACCTTGAAGACTGAAGCCATGCGTCTTCGTCTTCGTCCCAGTTTGCCCGCCAATAATTTTTCTTGTCCAGTTCTTGCCCATCGTCTCCCCCTCATTCTCTGCTATATATACTTTGTAGCTAGCTTTAGTATGGTCATGGAGTAGCAGCTAGCAGCGCACTAGCTAGTTTACCATAAGCTTGCTTCCTTGTTTTACTGCTTCCTCTTCCTCACCTCCATTGATTCTTTTGTGGGTAAATATCGAAGTGGTTATTGGTTTGTAACTTTGTTATAAGTGTCTGATGATGATTCTGGAAAAAAAAAAAAGTCGATGGAAATAAAAGCTGAAACACATACGGCTGTTTAGTTTGTTCATTAACAGTAGCTATGAACTGAACTGTATGAGGTAGCTGAATGATGATGCAAGCTTTGCTTGTCCTGACGAGATGACTATGGTGACTACTGCAGTGATGAGCACAGAATTGTTTGCAACCGAGAACCAACCGACTCTGCAGTCTGCAGTTCTGCAGATACACATGATGAACGACTATCCTGAGACTGACAAGGGCCGCTGGATATCAGATAGATTCAGATCTATCGACGTTCGTATTTGTATATTCTCCTTTCTATTTAGATTTTTCCAAGTAAAAAGATTGCTCTAATTTTGACTTAGGTTTATAGAAAAAAATATACTAGCATCTGGAATATCGAATAAATGCACTATCAAAATAAATGACATGAAATTTTCAAAAATATATATTACATGACTTATCTAATAAAATTAGCTATTTTTGCGGGTGTATTTAATAACCTAACATGAAAAATACTATCTCGCCCATGAAATAGTCTATTTTCATGAGAGCGATAATTTTTATGGGAGTCCGCCTGCACCACCACAAAATACGGTGGGCGCTCATTGTGAATTCATTTGTGAATAATATATAGATTACATTCATAAAATCTTATGAACTTTTTAATTCAATTTTATGTGCCTATAATATGATGGGTAAAGTAACATTTAAGTTGCAGTACGTTAGTCTGATTTTCAATGTTGAATTACAAAACAAGTTAACAGACATACTCTAACTGTTGAAACTGGATAAATTTAGTCCTCTAGCTAGTTTTATAGGTGGTTTTCTATTTACTAAAAATAATAATAAAAAACTAGTTTGATCTCTTAAAATTTATAACTAAATTATCTTTAATCAGAAATAAAAATAAAAAACTAGTATTTTTTTTTTCTAAAGATGCTGTCTACCTGTTTATGATCTCTATATAGTTATTTAATTTAAATTTTGTTTATTTCTATTCCTATTGCTTTTTTGCTTGCAATCGTGTTCATTATTTACTTAAAACAAATAAGAGCTAAATAAATCTAAATAGAGTATCAGCATATAGATAATAATTTTAGAAGAAATCTGGAGCTAGTTTCATATTTTTCTAACTATAATAAAAGAATTATGAATATTTTGATATCAAACTAGATTTTTATTGTTTTTAAAAAATCGAAACCACCTTTGAAACCCGTCATAAGACTAAGTTTTTCTAGTTTCAACAGTTAGAGGGTGTTTGTTACCTAGTTGTACAGTTAAGAGTTTCGAAAACCAGACATGCGTGTAACTTTTTTTTTCTCAAAAAACATATAGGAGATCATCATTATATTAAGAAGAAGAATGGGTGTAAAAACTCAACAACACTCACACCACGTACACACATACAACACAACACATGAGTGTAACTTGAAGGTTGAAAAATTGTACTTTACCCTTTTATCCCCGTATCGGTTTATAAAAATTTAGGACCACTTTCTGGTTGTGTAAAACAACTTATGAAATCTAGAACGGCTCGAGTACAATTTGGAATGGATGGAGTATACTTTGTTATATCATCCTTGAGCTGCCTCTAGTATACTGTATACCGTACCAAGTGGAAATTAACAAAGCATGCACGATTAGCTTGGTCTTAGAGGCCATAATAACCTACGTACTACATATATAGCATGGGAAACGGGACTAGAAAAGAGAAGGAAAAAGGAAGGCGCTTTTTCATTCTCAATTCTGCGTCAGGTCCGGAGAGCAGGCCAGGGAATCTGAACTCTCGTCACATTATTAGCCATCGCCAGTCTCCATTAGAGATGCTGATGATATATGCATGACTAATTCTCACACGCATTCTCACTGCTGCTAGTGCTAGTGCTAGTGCTGCTGCTCCGGCGACGGCGACGGCGACGGCGACGGACCCATCGGTGGATGGAAACAACGAGACCAGCCGGAGTCACCTGAGGAAAGCGAGCCAGCGCAGCAGCCATGGCAGGCATGCATCGATCGAGCATCGATTCCCCTTTTCCCTCGCGGGTTTCGTGGTGGCTGGGCCGACATAAAAAAATCCCAATGCAACTGCAGAGTGCAGATGCACTGCAAGTGAAGTGAGCATGCAAGAAGGAGGTTGCCTGATGATTGCATCCATCATTATATTCTTGCACTTGCAGCATTTTATCCACTAAAGCATCCATCGCCGAGATACAGATACTACTGCAGTATATAGGAAACAAAGAGACGAACCATGCATCCAAGAAAATTAAAATTGCATCGAACGAGTCCAAAGTTTCGTGCTGCTGCAGTCTGCTTGATGGCGAAGCGCATTAGCCGACTGCCTCCACATTAACAATATATGTTACCAACACAGCTGTCTTGCTTCTTTTCCACATTATTATCGTTTCCCCAAACAGAGCAGGCTGCAGCTAGTGCAAGCTGAGGAAGAAGAAGAAGAAAAACAAACAGTATGTAGTTGTGGTGGGTACTAGTAACTACTCCTACGTAAGAACTACTACTGATGATGGAATGGTTTTTGTTTAACTGCAGCTAGCAAGTGCATGTACCTCCCCAAAGATACCAACGGTCTGTTCGCTTGATCGTTTCTGTGGCTTATAAACCTGCTGATGTTGTTTTGTTATGAGAGAAAAACACTGTACCATAGCTGATAAGCATGACTGATACGATCAAACGAACAGGGTATAAATTACCAACCCATTGCAAACAAATGCATCATGTGAATGCATGGTAGTAAAGTAAAGTAAAGTAGCTTTCATATATGCACGATCGAAGAGATCGACCTCGTTCTACTCCTTTTTGCTGGCATGCATGGTAATACTTACTGTAGCTAGTACTACGCGGAAGCAGAACAGAGGAGGGGGGCTACAGCGACAGGCACTAGACCACCAGCGCCCCAGAACATCAGATTGCAGGCCAGGTCTGTCGATCGATGACACGGTCCGCCGGAGGAAGAACCACCAGCAGCAGCACCACCACCACATCCGTGACGGTGACTTGTGAACGCGCCTCATGCGCGCCCGCGTGCCGCAAGCACCTTTCCTTTTTCTGCCTCCGGCCGAGGCTCCCCGGCGCTTCACACTTAACGATAGCGCTGCACGTACGGGCTTCACACTGGCCAGTGGTCACTGACGATCTATCCTAATCATTTGCTCCCGCATCAGCATTATAATCTTGGCTCGCTTTTTTCTTTCGAAAGTTATTTTGGCTTCATTTTTCAGCCCGGGACTGCTACGTTGCCACAATAATTCTGAGATGAAGATAAACAAGAACAATATATTTAAAAAAACTAGCTCAGTTTTAAAAAAAAATCATGACTAGTCTATTTTAAATCAGAAAATTTTGAAACTAGTACCAAACACTATTTCTAGAAGGATGGCCAAAAATGAAGAAGGAAGCCAAATTTGTTGGATGATCAAAATTGTTGGATGGCCAAAAATGGGTTTGAGAAAAATATGAAGGCAACGGGAATTCTAGAAGGTGTGTTGAAAAAAGTGTTTACCCGTTCATGGGTGGAGCAGAGGTGTGTTACCATGTGGCATTGTGTTGGCTTGTAAATGCGTAGGTGTTCGATGTGCCGAGGTGATCGGTAGATGGTTGAGAAGGTCAAGCGAGTGATCTGTGCGCGATGGACGACTGAGGGCAGTGAAAGGTGGCCATAAAGGGTTGGACGACCGAAGGACCAAAAGGCCGAGGATGGACCATGGGCAACTCACATTGGGCACAAAGAAGACACAAGGACAAGAGGACAATGAAAATGGCATAGGCCAAGTCGAGGAGTACGATGAAATCATGGTACTTGGCGGAGGTCAAACACACGTCTACATTAGGAATGATGAAGATGGTGTCTGTCAAGCCAAGAAAAAAATACAAAAGCGTCAAACCTTGGTGAACTATGCATGGACGGTTTGGTGGATTTAGCCTCAAAACCACATGTGGTGGATTTAACCGACATAGGCCTCAAGAATAGGAGGATGAGTTGGAGGATGCGTGGCACCATCATGAAGCTTACGAAGTGAAGTCATGAAGACATTGAGTTTGCCCGAAAAAATATGGACGGTTTTACTCCTGAGGGTATTTACAAATTAGGTTGGAGCATAAAAGAGTACGTATAGATAGGATAACAATAATGTTGTAAATACTGTGACGTGCGTGCATACCCAGGCATGGGACTATAGCCTTTGACATAAAAGACCAATGCCTTATAGAGGGGACCTCTCTCCCCCATATGTTTTCAGAGATGAGAACAAGAATAGGCCTAATAAGCCTCGGCCCGGCTCGTCCAGGACGCAGAGTATTTATCCTAGCGGGGGTCTGAACATGGTAAATCCCTCGCATGTATATTTAGAGCATGTTTAGATACAATATAGATTTCTAGTTACTAGTTAGGGCTAAAAAATAGTCTAAATTAATTACGGTTGGCTAACCATTAGTTGAAGACTTGACTAATAAATTAGACTACCTATTAGCTCTTCTATTGGATCAGGGACGAAGCT